CTGTGGCCGATTGATGAACTGACCCGGCCGACGAGTGACAAACGCGACCCGCTAACAGTCCACATTCGAGACTCCAAGCGCTCGTCCAAGGTGATTTTCAGATGGGTCTCCAATCACGGTATATTTAACCCATTCGTGACAATGGCATCCACCGGTGACTGCCAAAGATCTTACAAGGGCGATGCCATCCACCGTTGGCTACCGGAATTTAAATGGAACTTGGAAACTTTTCTCTCATAAAAAATCTTCATACCCTCATTCATCTACGCCAGCCCTGGGCAAAGGAAATCTCTGTGCACTCAAAATTTTATTGAAGAAAAATCTCCTGATTCCACTGAAATGGTTACATGAGGGACAGGCCGTCTTTACGACCCACACGGCATTATATTTTTCACAAAGAGAGCCCCTTACTTGTTGGTGCTGAACAAATTGGCAAGATGCGGTTGTATTTGAGTGATCACTTCCGGGCAGATGGTGGACTCGAACAATTCCGCTGATGGCATCGGATATTCAGGCAGAAGAAAGCTGAAACAATGAGATTTCCAGAGGACGACTATTTCTCATTTCAAATGAAACATTTCGTTGAGCGCCATTGGACGTTCGAGTAAACGGCAAAATAAAACATCTTGCAAATAAGACTCTTTTTCCCTTCAGGCTGTCATTTCTTTGGAACATCGTCGTCGCACAAAACTGTGTCTTTTTGCAAAAAGATCGCTACTCGCAATATCGGGCGTTGTGTTAAAGCCGGCGGTAAAACAATTTTTTTTTTGTAAAAACAAGACTAAGCCTTAGGCGAGGAAAGAGAGATTCCAAGGCACGTGAGCCATTTTCCGCAGAGCTCCTGCCCCTCCTATGCTACATGCAGCTTAGCTAGTTGTAGAGGGTATGCCCCCTAACTGGCGACTAGCTCTGAGACTTCACTCTTCTCTATTAAAGGAAACTTCCCCGGGAAAAAGCTCCGCCTCCATTACCCAGAAAAACGATACCCCTTAGGCCCCTAGCCTCATGAGCATAGCAAAAAGAACGGAACATAAGCGTTAGTTTCGATAATACTAATCCTACACACAAGACAAAATGATCACTCTTTCCGTGGAAGATTCCTTTAAGGTATCGTTTTCTGTGGTAATGAGGGCGGAGCTTTTTCCGTGGAAGATTCCTTTAAAGGACGAATTCACGCTGAAAAAGCAACCCATTTCAAATTAACTTAGGGATGGTGAGTGGTACACGAAAGAAGGAAGAACCATGAAACGGCCCAGAACCCGAGAAATGGGACCCCTTCCTTGCCCGTTGATTTGAGCATTGATGCGACTATCATCGCTGTGCCCTCTTCAACGCTACGCTCTCTCACCTATCTAATCACTCACCACGTATAGACCTGCGGCGAGTGATCAGATGATCGGTGGGCGTGCACTGACCAGCCGCGGCGGGATTAAACCTTAATAGGTCAACGAGGTCAACTCCTCCTGTGCAAATTGTGCTTCAGTTCGCACACTTAGGAGCTCCGCGGGTCCCTCAACCAGGTGAATTCTTCCTAATTCGATTTTCCCTCTGATCGTGAATTCGTCCTTTAAGCATACCACATAGAGCGCAAGAAAAGCTACCGTCAGACGCATCAACCCAAAGATCGATTCCGACGTTGGTCCATCTGAACATCTCCCTGGCTGAGGTTACTTAAAGGCACGGTTCGGGATCGAATCGGTGTGTTATTTTGTTCAAAAATCGATCAAAATCGACAAGGAACGGAGAATAAGCCAAAGCGCCATATGAATAAACAGATATTCTGGTTTTTGGAGTGGCCATTGGTACGACGGGTGATGACTTCGCGAGGGAGGGAAAACGCGTAAAGACGTCGTGCGCTGGGAGAGCGCAACCGAATGCCGCGCGGGCTGATACAGAGCGGCCAGCGGCGGGCAACGCTAATTCTCTGTTGCGATTTCAAGACCGCTAAAATACCGTCATCTGTGATTAAAAGATCTTCTACCTCAAGGAAACAGTCCTCTAGGGACCTGATCGCGACTCTTGCCTTCAATCAATATTAAACATTTTTGTGAAGAACAAGGCTAGATGAGATGACGCTCGGCTGCGCGAGCAATACGCAATCTAATGTGCCAACGAATTTAGCTAGAGGTGAAATTCATGGCGCGTGCTAAAGAAGGCTATACATGTTATCCACTTCTCTCCTGATCAATGCCTCCAAATATGCTCCATTAATCCGCAATAATATAAGTCCATCTCTGGGCAACTACCATACCATTTGTCAACCCCTGGAGGGATTAACCCACGGAGCCTCTAGGGTTCGAACTTATCAACCCAGTAACGTGCACAGTGCCGAGCCCCACCGATGCCACTAGGATGCACCGCAGTTTCACTGTAGATGAAGCGGCTCGAATATTTGAAAAATCGCGCTACTATACTCAAGAAGATCGATCAGATTGCTTTAGAAATTAAACATCAATCTGTCCCGGAAATCAGGCATCACTTTATATGGCAACAATGGCAAATTACACGACGGTCTTCAAAGGCTATATAGTGTTTTTGTGAGATTCCAAGACTCCTCACTCCCCATTGAAGTCATCAGGACCGTTTCCTTGTGCTTCCATAGAGAAGAAACTAATAAGGAAAGGGTCCCACGTTGCCACGGCCATTCAAGAAGCTAAGTACACGCATAGATGTACCTTTGAACGCTGATCTCAAACCTACTCTCATATCTGCTGAACGATTCTGAAAGATGTCGGAGCGACTATCTTACGCCACGAAGTGGTCGGCCAATGGTCAGCCGTCGTAAGATCGGCTCCCCTTTTCATTCTTACTGGCTTTTTCTTCTCGCAAATACAGTTTTGTCTGTTTTTGTTTGTTAACTGCTGTTTTTGGCCGCAGTTCGCCTTGCGAATGTTTCACAAGAATGCTGGGTTGTGAACAAAACCTTCGCCCCAGGCGGGACTAGAACCCGCACCTCTCGCTTTCCGGGCAAGTGCGCTACCAAACTTACGCTACCAGAGTACATCCAAGTTCAGCTCTTTCATGGCGTACTGCGGTAGCTGTCAGCACTAAGATAGTTGTACAGTGAGGTTTTCTAGTGGTACTTTCGAACCAGAGTAGCGAAGTAGGCAACTAAGGACCATCCTGCGAACTTTGACTGGCGAGTCCGGGCTTACTAACTTTGGCTTAATGCTTATAACACCGTTCACAGAATTTGGAAGGCACAAAGATCAGCGTTCAAAGGCTCTTCTTGACGTGTACATTTCTTACTGAATGACCACAATGTTATCTAGGATCCTTCACTTGTGTGTGAAATTTCTGAAAATATGATTTTAAGCACTATCACAATATACGAGGGGCATTTTGGCGGCATTGCATTAGGATTTAAGCAGAACATTTCATTCTGTTGCAATCGGGACTGAGCCTTACAATTAGATGGAAGATTAGAGACATCAGAGTGCATTAACGGTTTTCATTTTCCCCGAAGTTTCTGGCTCCTTTTAACAGTTCTTGGGGATGCCCCCGTATATTGCGATAGCGCCCGATTTTAGTTACAAATCAGTTCCCTATAATTCAAAATTGATATCGCCTTCTTCAGTAGACCCTCACCTTTGTTGGCTTGTAAACGTTCTCCCGACTCACAGACTGGAAACATGACCGTCGACATTTGACGAATTTGATCGATCAGCATCATCATAGCGATCTGAATCAGGTACCCTTTGAAGTTAACATGACAGATAAAAAAGTTCTACATTAAAAAATCTACTTGACGATTTTTTCACAAGCAAGCAAAAAATGACAATACGTTTACATCCGGATTCCTTGATAGACCGAAAATATATTGTCCTCGATTAGGTGCTAGCAAGTGAAACATTTGGTACAGATTATTCCCCTTCTGGAATGCGCCACGTACTCGACTTTGGTTCATCATCGTAACGGTTCCCGTGTACGAATGGGCCAACAAGATGGCTGGTAGGAGAAAAAAAATCAATGTTTTTCGATGTCCATTCAGGTATGTCAGGATTGAAGGCGGCCCAGGATTCCAAGGCAGCTATTTTGATCCGTGATATTAGAGTAATGGATAAAGGATCAAGGATTTTAAGGGGTGTCGCCCCAAGAAATCCCAAATCCACGAAGGAAGAGACGCAGACGCGGCAAAGGACGAGTCGCAGCGCATACTGTGGCAGTTAAGCGTCAGATTAAATAGAGTGTACCATACTACGTCTCATATTGCACAGCACGCGCTGAGACTCGTCCATTGCCGCATGCCCGGCGTCTCTCCTTCGCGGCGCGATGGGCCTTTTGCGGGACACCCGAATTTAAGCATTTGTCGTTGATCAATCCCCTTTGGAGTGCGCCCGGGGAATTTATGGAATAGTTAGGACCTTTTTCGTACTTACTTAACTGTCAAATCAAGTTGAGGGATTTCTACGGGGATAAGGAAGGGTTGAAGCATGGCCTTGGGAAAATTTAGGTCCATTGGGACCACTCACGAAAAATTCTCCCCTAGTATTAGATCCCGTGCCACTACAAACTTTGCCATAGAGACTGTATCCAGATTGGCGTTCGCGTCACTGGCGGAGTTTGGATGGTTGCCCAAGGGAGGGATCGCACATCAGCCTCGTTAGTCGCTAAGATGGGCGGCTTGTTTGGCCTGGGCGTGCACGAAGCGAGACTTGCGCCCGGACCGTGCTCGTGGTAATTTGCCACTTGCCACTTCACCAGTTCCGCCCCTCATGGGTATGGGAAGCGTGGAAACCACTGGCCATCACGTCCCTTCCGTCAATTAGTTGCTAGTACCAAATAGTACATTGGCCTCGTACAAGGGCTCAGCTGCCCAACAAAGAAGACCCCAAATACCTGCTGCCGCGCAGGATCAGCACGGCTTCCTGATGCTATATGTCGTAGCTGCAATCGCTTTTTCGTCGTCCAAAAAACGTTCGTATTATTGATGGGCGTTGCACGCGAAGCTTCAGATCTCAGCTGAGTGTCACTGCAGATCGGATCGGTGACGGATCGAAATGGCGGCGATGTAAGCGGTCGTCGACGCAACGAGCGCCCAGAGAAACAGCGGTAGCGGCCTACGCGTAACAAAACCAGGTCACCTT